GATGGTCTCTTGTGACGAGCCGATAGACAGAGAAAGGGAGCAATAGGCCTCCTCCCATATTTGGGCATACTCCTTACATGTTCCAAGATGGCCCCCTTGTCCAAATCCAACCACATCACGGGCCGGATCCGGCCTGCAGGCTTTGAGTTTGGTACCCCTGAGCTAATACATACGAGGAAGTTTTCCTTTGGTTGAGAGTATTGTTGGTCTGTGCGTGTCGATGTGCTTGAGAGAATCAGTCAGAGTTCTGGCTTCATGCCACCTGTGCTGGGAACCCGTCGGCCCGATTTTTATGGAATAGTAAACTTGCACAGGTACGATTACGAGCAATTCAGCCTCTACGCAGGTTCATTTCCCCGGGCGACCGAGAAAGCATTGTTCCTGCTTTTGTCCCAATCGTCCCGGTGTTGCAAACTGATAGTAACAGGCAGTTCCTTTGTCCTCGGGCATATCCTACTTCCGCCTGCAATCAGCCAGGGTGTGCACATAACTCCAGTAGAAAGGTGTAGTAAGTAGAGAGTAAGGAAGGTTGACCTTGGTGGAAATGCTTCAGTAACAGTTCCTGCCTATTTCCATCCGGATTGTCCCACGGGTGGTTTTTCAAAAGGGCAACTGGGCTTTTATCTTTTTTTCAATGAAGACGTTTTGCTTCTCACCCGAGAAGCTTCTTCAGTTCTGAGCTGAACGGAACTGAAATTGAACTGGAGAAGCTTCTTGGATGGGAAGCGAAACTTCTTCAAGGAAAAACAAAAAAACAACCTGAATGACTTGAGAATCTCCATAGAGACTTTCGTCTGGATAATCTTCATTTTCTACGAAGCTGTGAATAGGCCCCTGCTGAGACCCTTTGCTCAATCTCTTCCCACTCTCTCTTTCTCCAGAAATTGTCGATGGCAACGCCAAGATGACCTTGGGGATGATCTGGACCATCATCCTCCGGTTTGCCATCCAGGATATTTCAGTGGAAGGTAAGAGGCAGATTTGGGCTTGCGAGATTGCCCCTTTTCTCACACCCATCCCAAGTCAGCAGCCACAGCCTTCCGATTGTCCCAGTGTTTTCCGAGCTCGGCCATTTTTTTTTAGTGGACTTCAACTCCCAGAATTCCTCAGCCAGCATGCTTGATGAGCTTCAAGATTGGCAGGCTTCCAATTCCCAGAATCCCTGGCTCTGCCGTTCTTCCAACGTGGCAGCCTCAAGATGTGTGGACTTCAACTCCCAGAATTCCTCAGCCAGCATGCTTGATGAGCTTCAAGATTGGCAGGCTTCCAATTCCCAGAATCCCTGGCTCTGCCGTTCTTCCAACGTGGCAGCCTCAAGATGTGTGGACTTCAACTCCCAGAATTCCTCAGCCAGCATGCTTGATGAGCTTCAAGATTGGCAGGCTTCCAATTCCCAGAATCCCTGGCTCTGCCGTTCTTCCAACGTGGCAGCCTCAAGATGTGTGGACTTCAACTCCCAGAATTCCTCAGCCAGCATGCTTGATGAACTTCAAGATTGGCAGGCTTCCAATTCCCAGAATTCCTGGCTCTGCCGTTCTTCCAACGTGGCAGCCTCAAGATGTGTGGACTTCAACTCCCAGAATTCCTCAGCCAGCATGCTTGATGAGCTTCAAGATTGGCAGGCTTCCAATTCCCAGAATCCCTGGCTCTGCCGTTCTTCCAACGTGGCAACCTCAAGATGTGTGGACTTCAACTCCCAGAATTCCTGACTGAATTCTGGGAGTGGCTCGGCCAGGAATTCTGGGAGTTGAAGTCCACACATCTTGAGGTTCAAAGAACACTGGTTTAAGCCACCTTTTCCTGTCTCGACCCCTTCCAGAGTGGTCGGACGGGCCGAGATTGATGAGAAGGGTGGCCCGACACATGTGGAGATGGCCTTTACTGGCATTTACCGTGTGTGAGAGGAAGAGATTTAAAATCCAAGGAGGAAGCCTGTTGGTGGTGATCCAGGATGCTGCTCACGCCTTAGAAGTGTCTTTTTCTGCGCTTTTAACATCTCACTGGATCAGTCCCCCATAAATCTTTCAGGGCACAGATGCTCACTCAGCTGCAGTAACCGCGATTGATGTAGTTGAAAACTTGGCCCTGCAAACTTCAGCGGCCTCCGAATGTCTGTCTAAATGAGGGCTGCAAGAAAAATCGTAAAATGAGAACTTAATCCTGTGGCGACCCACTTAAAGACCGTCCTTGCAGGCTCAACTACAGTCGTTAAGTTGAGGATGTACCTGTGTCGTCCGTAGGGTTTACTCAATCTGGGGCACAGAAGGTAGCAGAAAGAGGCTGGAAGGATGGAGCTTAATAAAACGAAATCCTTCCTTTCGTTCCCTCTTAGTTTTCGCCCATCTGCTCTGCAAATGTCTCTCTCTCTCTCTCTCTCTTTTTCCCACTATCCCTTGAATCTTTTTTTCTCCTTTTAAGTACCGTATTTTTCAGAGTATAAGACGCACCTTTAAAAGAGCGTGGAAACATTGGTGCGTCTTATACACCGAAGACAGCCGTTTTTGGCCTCCCGAAGCCCCATCCCCACATCCCGTTTTTGTGACAAAACAGCCTGTTTCCCACCCATTTTTCACAAAAACGGGGACGTTTTTGCCTCCCCCCAGCCCTGCTGAAGCCTGCTCCTGGGGGCCGGGGAGGATATAAACTTTTGTTTCTTACTTACCCTTTCGAACTCTTGGTGCGTCTTATACACCAGTGCATCTTATAGTCCGAAAAATATGGTAGCTAGTTGTGTTCTGCAGCCAGCCAGCTGTGATTCGAATGCTGACTTGATTTGGCCTTCATCCTACAAAATACCTCCAAAGGCTGCCTCTCTTGTGCGCCCCCAGCCCCTTCCCAACCTGGTTTCCATTCAGGGGTGGGTGGGGTCCCAAGCGTCCCCCCCCCCCGGCTGTTTGCAGACACGTGAAAGCCATTTGTGGAGAAGACATGTTCAGTTCTCTTTTTGGCCCCTGGTTTAGGTGGGATCTGTTTTATTTCTCTGTGTTTTAATCTCTTGTCACCCGTTGAGAGTCCGGGGATCGGGACAGGGGTATAAATAGTGTGGAAGAGAAATAAAATATCCTCCTCTCGGGACAAGGCTGTTCTTTGTGGAAGGGAAGCATCCCAAAGAGCTCTGATTTATTTGGATTTAGGTTTATAGATTTGGCTCCATCTCAGGGGTTTTTCAGCGTGGGCTGTTCTAAAGATGTCTGGACTTCAATTCTGGGAGTCGAAGTCCGTGTATCTTGAAATGTGCTACTGTTGAAAAACATAGCTTAATTCTTTGTTGTCTGGACTTACAGTGTGATGTTGTGAACTCACCCTTGCGGCAACACAAGCCGAACAACATCATTGCCTCCTCTTTCTCTCTCTCTCTCTCTGCAGAGACTTCAGCCAAAGAAGGACTCTTATTGTGGTGCCAAAGGAAAACCGCCCCTTATAAGAACGTCAACGTGCAAAATTTCCACATCAGGTAACTCTCCTTCTTCTCCTCCTCCTCCTCCTCTTCTTTCTCCCCTTCTCTTCTTCTTTTCTTCTCCTTCTCCTCCTTTTCTTTCTCCCCTTCTCTTCTTCTTTTCTTCTCCTTCTTCTTCCTCTTCCCATT